TTGAGACCGTTGGGTTTCTGCCCAACCATGGAGACCGGTCCCACCTGTCACCAGGCTTTAGGAGTGGCGTCACGCCCGACCGCTTCCCTTGAGAAGGGCGATCGCCCTGGCATAACGCCGGGGGCTACTGTCGGTGATATGGGACCGGGAGTATCGTGACCAGAGGCTTGAGGCAGACACAATCGCCCACGTGGCCCGGCACCCTCGGGGACGTCGGGCCCGAGGGTGAGGTGTCCGCCCTCCTCTTGATTTCCCCGAGGGGGGTCGGGTTACTCCTGCCCCGGCCCCGACGGCCGAGGCACCCCGACCCCTAATGAAGTTTGCGCCACATATATGGGTTAGGTGAACACGGCAGGGCTCACCTAACCGCATTTATTGCGGACTGGACAGGCACGTCATGCTGCATGCAGCGCAGTGCAGCACGTTCCTTTATCCGGTCTGTGACCAGTCACAGACCGGTCAGATCAACGGTTAGGTGGCGACTGGCGGTCTGACGCACGCCTCGCCCCGTCCCGTCAAGACGAGAGCCTCTAGGCACACGTCTCCAGCCGGAGCTAGCGTGTTACTTCTTAGAGATGGCACGTTAGCCCTGGTCAGATGAATACCAGGCTTCATCCCAACCATTACAGGCAAGATGTTACACGAAGAAGGGCGAAATACATGTTGCAAAGCTGACGCGTGGTGGACAAGAATGACCGATTTGTGACCGGTCTGACACTGTTCATATCGTCAGCAGACAGCCTCGTTCTCACAACGAGCCTGCCTCCGGCAGAAGTGGTGGTAGGTATGTGCCGTCCCGTCAGAAGGACGTTCGGAGGGCAACCATGCAAATCTCCGCTTCATTTATGAAGAGAAGAAAAGTCCAGTTTGGAAAGGGAGGGGTGCATGTGGTATCCCCTTGAGATATAAAAGGAGGACCTTGCCCATTTAGAGTGGGGGGGGCTGGAGATTGACGAACAAAGAAGAAGGGAGAGTTTGGCTCACACTTTGTAACTCCTTCATTCATAGATCCACCAAAACACAGGAGTAGGGTATTACGCTTCCCAGCGGCCCGAACCTGTATACGTCGCCTGTGTCTCTTGCTCTTTGGATAGGCCGCGATCTTTCCACATACAGAGAGAGCCTGAGATCTCACCCTGAGCCCCCGGCCGAACCGGCAAAGGGGGGCCTGCGCGGTCTCCCGGTGAGGGGCCACGAGCTCCGTCAATCTTTTTTTCGAATGGAGGAGTATCTTTCAAAGTGTGTCATGTCATCATGATCTCCTTCTGCTTAGGTACGTTAGCATTTTTTTTAAAAGAAATCCAATGCAAAATATTAGTTAAAGGGGTCTAAAATAAATATTTGGTAACTAGAGGGACTAAATCGAAATTCACTCGAAAAATAAACCCCTCCCTCTCCCCTAGAGGTGGCCAAATGGGCCGGGCCAAACGGGCGGCCCGGGGCACGGCCGAACCTGTAGCAGGCACGGCCCGGCACGGCCTGCTACAGTAACGGGCCGTGCCGGCACGGCACGAGTAGCCGTGCCGTGCTTGGGCCGCTGGCCGAGCCCGCGGGCCGGCACGGCACGGCACGGCTACTGTAGCGGGCCGGCACGGCACGGCCCGCGGCACGGCACGGCACGGCACGCCGGCGGCCCGTCAGGCGCGGACAAGGCGGGCGGCGGTCGAATGGGAAGGCGCCACGTGGCACTAACGGCTATTTGACCGTTCAAATTTGAAAATAACCGTTGGGAGGCTAAAAAATTCATAAAAATTTCGAAAAAATTCCAAAAAATCTCAAATTTCGCCCTATAAATAGGGCATGAACCCTAGCCATTTCTCCTCATCCCACACTCCTCATCTTGTGCTCTCAAGTGTTTTAAGTGCTCTCTTTGTTCTCAAGTGTGCATTTTTTTTGATTTTGACAAAATTTGCTCAAATTTTGTCAAAAATCAAAATTAGTTTCGTAGTTCAACAGTTTGATCGCAGAGGTTTGAAGAGCTCGCGGTTGGAAAGATGTAAGTAATATTCAAATTTGTGTATTATTTGTATTGTGTTTGTGAATTCAATAAATATTCGAAAATTTGTTTATGTCGGTTTAAATTTTCAGAATGGATCCGAACTTTCCATACCAGTCGCCGTCGTTCACCTTGGGTGATTTCGACCCCAACTACATGTCGGGGTTTGACGGTACCTCCGGATCGGCTCCAACTCCACCATCTGTGGAGGAGGTACCGGTTCATACGGCTGTCGTTGAGGAGGTACCGGTTGAGGCGGCGACAGCTTCGGAAGGATTTTCCGGAACCGCGAGCGGAAGTGTTTCGACACACACCGGCTCGAAGAGATCGAGAACCTCCGTTGTGTGGCAAAACTTCGACGAGATAAAGGAAACATGCCCCGACGGAAGGGAGGTATCGAAAGCCCGTTGTAGAATATGTAGGCAAATTTTATCTGCTCGTTCTTCTGGTGGTACAGGTCACCTCAAGCGCCATGCGGAGTCGTGTGCCAAGAAGCAAGGAATACAACTCCGGCAGCAGCAACTTATGGTAAACCCAGACGGTACGGTACGCAGTTGGGAGTACGATCCCATGGTTGCTCGGGAATCTCTTGTCCGGTTAATCGCCAGGCAAGATTTACCCCTGAACTTTGGGGAGTCCCCTGCTTTTGAACATTACATTCAGCAATCTCATAACCCTAGGTTTAAAGCTGTGAGTAGGCAAACATCAACTAGAGATTTAGAGAATGTTTATCACAAGGAAGCAACTGCACTTAAGGAACTGTTTAGTACATGTACTTTCTCTGTTAGTGTTACTTCAGATATATGGAGTAGTAGAGCTAGAGAGGATTATCTTAGCGTAGTTGTTCATTTTGTTGATGATGATTGGCAATTACAAAAGAGAGTTTTAGGGCTTAGGTTAATAGATGTCTCACATACAGGAGAAAACATAGCTGAAAGAATTAGGGAAGTAATTAATGAATTTAATCTTGCTGATAAAATATTTGCTGTCACCCTAGATAATGCATCTGCTAATTCTAGGGCTATTGAAATATTGCAACCTTTATTTAGTGTGTATGCTCAATCTTTTCTACTCCATCAGCGTTGTGCATGTCATATAATTAATTTGATTGTTAAGACTGGCATGAAGAGGGTAGGTGACCACATCGATGCTGTTCGTCAAGCAATCGCGTGGTTAACTGCTTCTAACCCGCGGATTGCTGCATGGAAGAGGTTTTGCAATGCGGCCGGTGTGAAAGCTCGTAAGTTTGCCACCGATGCAGAGCATCGGTGGAATGCAACGTATTTAATGTTAAAAGTTGTTTTACCTTATAGTAGTTTCCTTTCTGATTTTGTTCAGTCACGTGGTGGCCCAAGAAACAGTGACGGGTCTTCAGTACTGAACGAGCATGTTTGGGCAATTGTCCAAAAATTTCACCAATTTCTAGAAACTTTTTATGATTGTACTCTAACTTTGTCACAAGTTTATTATCCAACTGCTAATATAATTTTGCACAACCTTCTTGAAATTGCTACTTTATTTAAAGAATACGAAAATGATGACATTCTAACTGAACCTGTCTTTCACATGAAACAAAAATATTTGAAATATTGGAAAAATATACCTATGTTGTATGCTCTTGCTTTTGTTTTAGATCCTAGGTGTAAATTAAGGGGATTGTCTGCTATTTTATCACTTGTTGGAGATACTATAGGTGTAGATTATAGTTCTTTTTATACTGAGGTTAGACGTAAATTATATGAGGTTTTTGGAAGATATGAAGTAAAGTTTCAGGAAGTTCGCCAGCAGAGACCCCCTCCTATCCCCACTACAGGTAAGAAGAAGATACAGTGGGGTAGGATTTGGGGTGGATCGTCTTCAAGTTCAATCCAAGGTGGTGGCAGTTCGTCGGCTACAAGTGTAGACGCCTCTTCGCATGTTGTGGCCGAAGAGTTGTCCGGTTATTTGGACAGCGACGCCATCCACCACGAAGCACAAGATTTCAATGTCCTCGGGTGGTGGAATGACCACAAGATAACATATCCTGTGCTTTCAAAACTAGCACGGGATGTGTTGACGGTGCCCGTGTCGACGGTGTCCTCCGAATCGGCCTTCAGTCTATGCGGCCGAATCATCGAAGACCGGAGGACGACTCTGCGCAGCGACCACGTCGAAATGCTACTAAGCGTTAAAGACTGGGAGCTTGCTCGACAACATGCCCAATACACTGCGGACAACCAAGAATTGGCCGCCCAGTTCGAGCAACTCTACCTGGATCCAGACCAACCCCAGTAGAATTTTGTTAGAAGTAGTTCTGACCTTTGAGCTGTACTCTTTTCTTTGTCATGGTTTTCTCATTTTCCCCTATGAGTTTTTACATGACAAAGTTTTTAACGAGGCAGCATGTATCATTGTATCCTGTAATGATATAAACATCAATAAAGGTCATTACTATTTTTAACAAATTCTTTTACAATATTTTCGCAAGTGTGGATTTATCTTTAAATTATTTCAAAATAATGAATCACAATCTATATTTTTAAATTTTTCAACACAACAAAAAAATACCATTTTTTCTTTTTTTTAACATTAGCAAATCATTACTTTTTTAAAAAACTTTTATTTCCATTTTTTAAATACCATTTTTTCATTTTTTAACATTAGTAAATCATTACTTTTTTTTAAACATTTTATTTCCATTTTTAATTTTTTTTTCTTATACATTTACTTTGCTTTTTTTTTTAAAAAAAAACACTGTGCACTGCAGGCTGGTGGCCTGCCTTCACGGGCCGCCGTGCCCCGAACGGCCCGTGGGCCGCGGGCGTGCCGTGCCGGCACGGGCACGGCCCGGCCATCCACGGGCCGTGCTTGGGCCGGCGGCTCGGCACGTGGGCCGGCACGGCACGGCCCGTTTCATCAGCCGTGCCTAACGGGCCGTGCCTAAACGGGCCGTGCCGGACCCGTGCCCGTGCCGGGCCGGGCCGTGCCGCCCGTTTGGACACCTATACTCTCCCCCCATCGTACGCAACGAAACCCGATTGCCGCGCCGCTCCCCGTGGAGCCCAAGTGGCGGCGAGGGTTTCCGCCGCCTCTCGTCCGCCTCGCCGACCTCGGACCCCGGCCTCCATCCTCCTCGCCGACGAGAGCCCAAGTGTGCCGCTCCCCGTGGAGCCCAAGTGGCGGCGAGGGTTTCCGCCGCCTCTGCTCCGCTCGCCGGCGACAGCCCCACGTTCTCGACCGCCGTCCCCAGGTCCGCTTCCGGAATCTCATCCTTTGCGGGCTGATACTGCTTCGCGCGTCAAGCCATCACCAGCTGCTCCCTCCGTCTCCGGAACAACAATATTCTCTCCGACTGCTCACGACGGGAGAGCGGCGCTTCGGCGACGGCGATCCCGGTACGCACACGCTTGAGAGGCTCCCACTTTCTTCATTCTGCTACTGTACGGTTGGATTCGTGCATAACAATCACTCAAATCTCTATGTCTAACCTGCCCATGATTATTTATTAAGTTCGAGTTGGTTGAAGAATCCACTTTGTTTTGGGGGAACTTTTACATGATAGAGAAATGAATGGTCTTCCGTTGTGAAACACCATGCTTGATTTTACAGGATGGTGCTGTGTTGTCTCGTTTCTAGGTTTATAGACTGTCATTTGCTATAGAACCTCATGGTTTATAGTTAAACTGCACATTAGATCTGTCAAGAGCAGCAGACAACAGTAGTAGACGTTTTATTTATTAAATGATGAACTGTTGGTCTCAACTCTCAAGCAGTATTTTGATTATCTTTAATTCTAAGTGCCAATAGCAGCAATAGTAATGGACGTTTCTAAATGTAATTATAAGGTTTGTGTGCATATTTACTTTGATACAAGGATGCATACCGTGCATGCATCTCAATTATCTATGCCACTAATCTAATATATATTTTGGAGATGAAGGAACAGCAGATGGAGAAGGCAAACAACACAATGTTTTTCAACCAAGCAACTATCTACTCTACTCCAAGTATCTAAGGGTAATGATACTAATCATATGGATCCCTTACCCTCAATTTGATATAGCGCTATTGTTCATGTGATATGTATTGTCTAGTGAGGCATGCTGAAATTTGGCTTTAGGATCAGGTTGGTGAGTTATTGTTATTTTGGGAGTATATAGGCTCAAGAGCATCTGACACAAAAGAACTCCTACTCTCTAATAAAATTATTGTGTGCTATTTATGGGGCTGCCTAGGTGATGAGGAAAGAATGAGTTCACAAACGTGTTAAACTGTTAATCCAGTATCCCTGAAAAGTAGGTTGGTTTAATTTAAGTTCAAATGCCTTGTGGATTTCAATTGGTTTTTATGGCTGATCTTTTGCGGACTGGGATGGAAGTTTGGTTTAATCATTTTGTACTAGGTTAGCTTGTCCATTTCTCTTATGCTCTCGTTGGCATGTTGTGTTCTTGCTGGATACTTATTCATCTCAGTACCTTCATGAAAGTGGGGTCAATGTCATCCATAACTAGGTCAGTAAGGACTATGCGCAAGAACTGAGTCGAGTCTATGTAAAAGTAGTTGTCCTTTTGATATGGTAGAGGAATTGGTAGGACTGCTTAAAAATAGTTGTCCACGTATTCGTTTTTAGGTAAATGGTGTTATAGGACTGCCTAAAATAAATTGGTTATTATGAACTTTGATTGATCTTATCAGTTCTTGCCCTCTTGCTATGCACTAAGTAGTCACCTCTTAGCATTTATCATTTCATTTACATGTTTACTCTATAGTTCAGTAGTTCTTTTGACATGATTGGTGTCTTCGATTTTCTTCCATAGAAATGTAAGTTCGAAAATATTGAACATGTTTGATGCTTTAATTGTCGTTGGGGCAGTCACTTTAGGCTGAAGAATCATTGTAGCGAATGGATTATCAACAATCAGATGGAATTTATGACATGCCAGATGAACCATTGTTTACACTAAATTTGAGGTTGAGCCACAGCAATGACCTGGATAGAGTTCATAAATCTTTCACCAGCAAGATTGATAAGGCCCGAACGTATCTCACGGGTAGGTTCAGAAGGATTGTCAAGGTCAAAGGTTCTAAGAGAAAGGAGTTCGTTCTTACCCCTGAAGGCCCTGATGTTTTTACCATTGCTTTCACTGATGGTACTAACAGAGTAACTGCCATAATTGAAGAGAGAAATATGTGGTTGAGAGGTTTCCAAACTGCAGACGGACACATTTTTGAGTTTAATGATGAACACGGCAATGAAGGGAAGGATGCTAATCTGGATGACAAGACTGATGAAATGAATAATCAGTTCAATGGTAATGACAAAACAAGAGATGAGGAGGTGAAGGATGAGGAAGAGGCTATAAAGGACCAAAAACTGAAGGTTATAAAGGACCCAAAGATGAAGGCTATAAAGGACCGAGGGATGAACAAGCACTGCAAACAAAAAGAAAAGAGCAAAGCAGCATGTGGATCCAAAAAGAAGCAAGTGAATAGGAAAGACCAACTCAATCCAAAAAAGTATATTAGAGGATCTGTTCTCTTACGGCATGATAGCAATTATGGTTCTCTTCTTGGACCTAACAGACTGCCTCTGTTTCAAGTAGTATACAGTACAATGAGGGATATGCTGCAGAATTTGGCTCACTTTGATCCAAACAACTATTCAGATAAACACAAGCGCTCGATGGCTGCACTGATCATCCATACAGCTGAGACTTTGAAGAATAAATATATATCAAGTCTTGTGTTAAATTCTTTCAATCCACATATTGGTGCAAGGCTTCAAGCACTGGATGATATGGGAGCAGCACATATTAACGGGTGGTCTACAGCCTCTGAATTAATTTTGAAATCCATTCACCTCCCATCAAAGGTTTGGGACTTTCAACAGCAAGAATTTTCCAAGTGCAATGAATTTTACAAAAATCAGTGCTGGACTACAGATCCAAATGTCGCAATGAAGTCAATTGTGTTTTTAAAAGGCGATGCTTACACGGACAGTAAGCTTTCTGTTAAAGATGGTGATACGATTACCATATCACATAGTCTGTGTTAGATGTATTGTATAGCTAGCTGTGTATTTACTCCCTTCTTGAGGGTGCTTTCTTCATATTTGTATTGAGCTTTGTGTATATCTGTTTGGCCCAGTTGGCCCATTTAATCTGTGGTCCAATATTTGCAACATGGTATCAGAGCATATGGTTTAGGGTTCCACATCCGCCGCCGTCGTCGTGAAGCTCTCTCTCTCCTCTCACGTGACTGGATCCCTCTTCTCTCTCGCGCGAGCGTCGCCACCTCTGCCCTATGACCTCGCCTGTGGTCGCCGCCGCGCCGGCAGTGTCGCCGCCGCGCCTCTGCCTCTTGGGGTCGCCGCCACGCCAACTGGAGTCACCGCCCCTCTTGCGGGCGCCACCTTCCTCTGCTCGCGGGCGTTGCCTGCCCCTGCTCGCGGGCGCCGCCGTTCCTGCTCGCGGGCGGGCGGCCACGGGCGGGCGCTGCCTCTGCTGCCGCTGCCTGCTTCTCCCTCATCTTCCACCGTCTAAAGCTACTGCCTCTACTGTGATGGCGCCGCCCTCGGGAAAACCGGGTGCCATTTCTCTTCTGAAGCCTCCGGTCATCTTCAACGGACTCAACTTCCGGGAGTATGCATTGCATATGCAGATACACATGTGCAGCCAGTGGTTGTGGGGCTACCTCATCGGCGATCGGCCTTGCCCGCCTTGTCCAACCTTGCCTGCTGAGCCTGCCATCTCGGCAGATGCTGATGAGAACACTAAGCGTGGTCTCCTTGATGATCTTGCTGCTGCTATGGAGGCGTATCAAACAGATCTCTCTCTATATGAGACTTGGTTAGAGCAGGAGGCCTATGCCAAGGCTATTTTGGTTGGGAGCATGGAGGTTGACATATCACTCGACATTGCGGGCCTTGCTAGCTCTGAGTTGATGTGGACCCGTCTTCGCTAGCAGTACGAGCCTCGCAACGATGCCATGTTTCTTGCCGTTGTGAATGAGGCACAATCTCTTCGTCAGCTTGATGCCACTGTGGATGAGTTCTTTCGCAAGATGTCTGCGGTGTGGCGTCAAATGGACCTACAGGGCGCTGATGTTTGTCGCACTTGTACCTGTTGTCAGCGCCAGAGGGTCCAGACTGAGACCACTCGCCTCTATGAGTTCTTGTCTCGTTTGAGGCCTGAGTTTGAGCCTGTTCGAGCTCAGCTGTTGGCACGACGCCCTCGACCTTCATTGTTGGAGACCTTGCCTGAGCTACGGGCTGAAGAGACTCGTTGTCGTGAGGCTGGTATAGGCATTGCACAGCAGTCCACCTCTGTCTTGGTTGCACAGGGCTTGCCTTCTCAGGTCCATGTCTCTGCCCAGCCTGTTGTGGTGCCATCACCTTTACCTGTTGCGGCTGGTGCTCCTAGTACTCCTTCAGGCATTGTTTGCGGGTACTGTAGCAAGACAGGGCACACCGCCTCTATGTGCTACAAGAAGAAGAGAGATCAGAGTCATCGCACCTCTCAGGGCTCTCGACAGGGCTCTTCTCAGTCAAGCTCTCAGCAGATCACATCGACCGAGCAAGAGCTTGTAAGGCTCCTTCGTCGTCTTATGACTACAGCCTCTACCTCCACCCATGGGTCTGCTGCTCAGGCTTCTAGTCTTCCACCACCACCTCCATCCTCTTCAGGTATATTGTCCTCGTGGTTTCTTGATTCTGGTGCTTCCTTCCATATGACACCCGATTCCACACATCTTTCTTCTATGAGTCCTCCTGATACCCCTCTCACAGTTCAGACAGCTAATGGCACCTCACTTCCTGTTGTTGATCGTGGCACACTTTCTACTTCTTCCTTTCGAGTTCCTACTGTCTCTCATGTTCCTAAGTTAACCATGCAGCTTATGTCCGCTGGTCAGATCACTGATCATGGTTGTCGGATTATACTTGAGGCTGACTCTTGTTGTGTCCAGGATCGTCGCACAGGGCTCCTGGTGGGGACTGGTCCTAGGCGCCATGACTCTCAGCGTCTTTGGGAGCTTGATTGGCTACATCTCCCTTCTGATGCTTCTACCAGCCAGTCAGTCGGTTCCACTGCTTCAGCGTTAGCTACTTCAGCCACTACTACTTTTGCTCAGTGGCATCGTTGTTTAGGTCATCTATCCGGTGCTAGATTATCCACACTTATTGGTAGTTGGGGTCTTAGGTCCTGTTTCTGGAGACACCGCTCTACATTGTACGGGTTGCAAGCTTGGCAAGCAGCTGCAACTCCCCTATTCTTCTAGTGCCTCAGAGTCTCAGCGTCCTTTTGATCTTATACACTCTGATGTATGGGGACAAGCTCCTTTTGTTTCGAAAGGTGGCCATTCCTATTATGTGATCTTTATTGATGACTATTCGAGATTTACTTGGATTTACCTCATGTCTTCTCGTAGTCAATTTCTTTCTATTTATCAGCAGTTTGCTACTATGGTTCGCACTCAGTACGATTCTTCCATACGGGTTTTTCGTGCTGACTCTGTTGGTGAGTACATTTCGGCAGCCCATCGCCGTTTTCTAGCTGAGCAGGGAACACTTCCCCAGTTTTCTTGCCCTGGTGCTCATGCTCAAAATGGCACTGCTGAGCGCAAGCATCGTCACATTCTTGAGACTGCTCGTGCCCTAATGATCTCCTCGCATCTTTCGCCTCATTTCTGGGCTGAGGCTGTCTCCACGGCTGTTTTTCTTATCAATCGATAGCCTTCTTCTGTTCTTCATGGTTGTACTCCCTATGAGCGCCTATTTGGTACACCTCCTAGGTACAGTCATCTTCGATGTTTTGGTTGTGTTTGTTATGTTCTTCTTTCTCCTCGTGAGCGTACCAAGCTGACTGCCCAGTCTGTTGAGTGTGTTTTCCTTGGGTATAGCACTGAGCATAAGGGTTATCGTTGCTATGATCCTGTTGCTCGTCGCATGAGGATATCTCGTCATGTCACATTTGATGAGTCTCGTCCTTACTATCCTCGCTCTTCCACTTGTGATCAGTCCTCCACTGTCAAATCTATCTCCTTTTTGACTCTTCCGGATTGGTCCTTTCCTTCTCCACCACCAGTTCCGTCTCCATCACCACACCTCCCTTTGGTTTCTACGCCATCTCCATCACTGTCACCACCTCCTTCGCCGATGCCATCATCACCCATACTACCATCACCACCTCCTAGTACTCTTTTAGATGCTCCACATGAGCTAGCACCTTTTTCGCTGCACTACTCTCGTCGTTCACGACCCCTTGTTGAGTTGTCCTCTCCCTCTATCCTTGGACCAGCTCCTGCTCCTGCTTCTCGGTATGATCTTCGTGATCGCCATGCTATTAGGCCTGCGCCTAAGTATGGCTTTACTGCTGCGGCTATTGTTGAGCCCACGACTTACCGAGAGGCTATTGCCCACCAGGAGTGGCAACAGGCGATGGCAGAGGAGATTGCTGCCTTAGAGCGTACCAAGACTTGGGATGTTGTTCCTGCACCTACTCACGTCACTCCTATCACTTGTAAGTGGGTCTACAAGATAAAGACTCGCTCTGATGGCTCTCTTGAGCGGTACAAAGCTCGTCTTGTAGCTCGTGGTTTTCAGCAAGAGCATGGTCGTGACTATGGTGAGACTTTTGCTCCAGTTGCTCACATGACCACCATTCGGACCCTGTTAGCTGTTGCCTCTATTCGTCAGTGGTCCATTTCTCAGCTCGATGTCAAGAATGCCTTTCTCAATGGTGAGCTGCATGAGGAGGTCTATATGCAGCCCCCTCCTGGGTATTCTGTCCCTGATGGCATGGTTCTTCGTCTGTGTCGTTCTCTTTATGGTCTCAAACAGGCCCCTCGTGCCTGGTTTGAGCGCTTCTCCTCAGTTGTCACTGATATTGGCTTCAAAGCCAGCGACCATGACCCTGCTCTCTTTGTTCACACTTCTTCTTGTGGTCGGACCCTTCTTCTTCTATATGTTGATGACATGATCATCACTGGTGATGACTCTCGGTTCATTAATCTTGTGAAGAAGCGTCTTAGTGACCAATTCTTGATGTCTGATTTGGGTCCTCTCAGGTACTTTCTTGGGATTGAGTTCTCTTCCACGTCTTCTGGTTTCTACCTCTCCCAAGAGAAGTATATTCAGGATCTCCTTGCTCGTTCGGGCCTCACTGATAAGCGTGTGGTTGACACTCCTATGGAGCTTGGGATACATCTACGGCCCAATGATGGTGAGCCTCTTCAAGATCCCACCCGCTATCGCCACCTTGTTGGGAGTCTTGTCTATCTTGGCGTCACTCGCCCTGACATCTCTCACTCAGTTCACATTCTGAGTCAGTTTGTTTCTGCCCCTACTCAGCTCCACTACACTCACCTTCTTCGTGTCCTACGATATCTTCGTGGCACTATCTCCCGTCGCCTTTTCTTCCCTTGCTCCAGTTCATTGCAGCTTCAGGCGTACTCTGATGCGACTTGAGCTAGTGACCACTCTGATCGTCGCTCTCTCTCTGCTTATTGTGTCTTTCTTGGTTCCTCTCTGATTGCATGGAAGACCAAAAAGCAGACTGCAGTTTCTCGTTCAAGTGCAGAAGCTGAGTTACGAGCTATGGCAGCCTTGACCGCTGAGATCACTTGGCTGCGTTGGCTCCTGGAGGATTTTGGAGTTTTTGTCTCTCCCCCGACTCCACTCTTGTCGGACAGTACTGGTGCAATCAGCATTGCTCGAGACCCAGTGAAGCATGAGCTAACCAAACACATCGGCGTTGATGCCTCATACATGAGATCGCAGGTGCAAAATGAGGTTGTGGCTCTTCAGTATGTTCCTTCAGAGCTTCAGTTAGCAGATTTCTTCACGAAGGCGCAAACTCGAGCTCAACATAGTTATTTTTTGTCCAAACTCAGTATGGTTGATCCACCATGAGTTTGAGGGGGGGGGGGTGTTAGATGTATTGTATAGCTAGCTGTGTATTTACTCCCTTCTTGAGGGTGCTTTCTTCATATTTGTATTGAGCTTTGTGTATATCTGTTTGGCCCAGTTGGCCCATTTAATCTGTGGTCCAATATTTGCAACAGTCTGAATGCATCTGTTGGTGTGGTTGTTATGGGTGGCATTAACCATATTCTGATGCATAATTGGGAGGTACCATGTGCAGCTGAAATTTCCTTAAAGGCAAGTTCTTACTCAGCAAAGATCC